AAAGGGCTGTTTTTAGGGTTTTCCCGGCAATTATTCGATTTTTTCTCGCCGTAAGAACCATCCTTGGAGTTCAACGAACATTTTAAAAAAAGAATTGGCCTAATTGGTCCAGGCGTTGTTGAGTTATGCGATGCGCTTACCAACACATTTCGCGATTCATTTTCATAAATAAGATATTATTTACCTTCATATTATATAATTTTTTTGAATATTTTTGATAGCCATCCCAAATTGATGTAGCTTCTGAAAGCTCCACCAGCGCTTTTAACAGCAATTGATTCATCAGATGGTCTTCAGATTCTGTTTGTATAAAACCTAATGTGTACTCATCAACTGAATGAGGATCCTGTTAATTGAATTATTAAGGTTATTTTTTACCTGACATTAAATTTTATATCAATGAAATTTTCTTGAAAAGAGAACACTCTTTTTCAGAAATTTTAAAGAATTTAAGTTTTTAAAACGTAGAATTTTTCGGTATTGTATTTTATTAAAATTCTTATGGTACGATTTCGATTATACACTTTGATGTTTTTGATTAAATAATAATTTATTTAACCCTTTCACCTTTAGCTCCATGACAATGGATGCAGCATGCATATGTGCAATTTTGTCCATAAGTAAAGTAGAATGTGCAATATCTAGGCCTTTTGTCCTTTTTCCCATTTTGTAACCACCTATTGCCAAATCGGTCATAACTATACCAGTAGGCTTCATATCCAATGATTTTATGCATCTAAAAATTTAAAAATTAATGAAAAAGTTAGTTATTTTATTACAAAAAAATTCGAAGAAGCTGAAGTATGCGAGCCATTCTTTGTTTACAGAAAAAATCTTTTTTGTTATCATGATTAGAATTTTTTTAAACTAAAATAGAGTGCTTCAAGAGTTAAATACATCTATTTAAAATAAGTTATTGTACTAGCGAAAACAAACTTTTAAAAGTTTATCAATGATGATCAGATTTATATTGTTCAACCTATTCATATGCATGTAAATTTTTATTTTTTATTTTTTCGTAAACTTTAATTGTGATTAAATTACGAATCTTTTGTCAATGTTTTTTTAAACTTTCCGTACGGTAAGTTATAGTAATGGGCCGAAAATTGAAAATAAAATTTTTTGCATATCTTCACGTTCCAGAGGTTTCTGAGCATTTTGGCATACCTCAGAAAAAGTGGATGTATGTGTGTGTGTGTGTGTGTGTGTATGTATGTATGTATGTGCGTGTGTGTATGTATGTGCGGATACAAATTTTCGTCGACGATTTCGGGAACACGGATCAACCGATTTGAATAATTCAAAAAACATTCGATTCGTATTGATGAGGAGACGTGCTGATTAGTTTTTGGCGAAGGCAGGTCTAGCCGTTCCAAGGATACGGGGCAAAAAGTGCCAAAAACGGTAACTCAGTTTTTAAGAGAACGGAGCGTCCGATTTGAATAATTCAAAAAACATTTTACTTGTATTAACAAGATGAATAACTGATAACATTTTCATGAAGGCAGGTCTAGCGGTTTTGGAGATATGGAGGAAAAGTAAAAAAATGAGCCATTTGGCGGTCAAAAATGATCATTAGACATATGCACATCAAATTATCAGATATTTTATAGAGATTTTAACAATAAGTATACATTTTGTTAACATTCCTATGGGTTCCGTACCAATGCTTATGCGTTAGACAGCGACGCGACGCTTACGCGTTATATTTTGTTTCTATGCAGTTAAAGCAGTACGATTGCTTTAAAAAAAAAGTTCAGATCTTCCACAATATGTCAAAATAAAGAAAAAAAAAATTTTTTTTCAAAAAAAAAAAATAAAAAAAAAAATTAAATTTTTTTTTTAGAAAAAAATAATTTTTTGTCGAATTTATAGTTTCTCAAAAATCTTATTTTTTCAAAGTAAATTTTTTTCAAAAATGTTAATCGTTTTTAAAAAAATAATAATTTTTGGTACGGGAAGTTCCAGCAATTTGCCTTAAGGCACGATGCCTTAATTGCCTTAAGACAGAATTCCACTTACAGCTAGTTTAATCTTAAAATTGGTGTATATTCGAAATTCGTGTGATATTGGCATAAAGTTCGTAGACACGTTTGAATTAGAATCTTCATAATAAGATCATATAATATATTTATCATTTTACTTACTTTGAGGATAATTCGGTATTAATACCCACGTCATATAAAATTTTGCTCAATTTTGGTAACACCTTGGTGTACATAGAAATTTCCTTTGGAAAGACTCCCATTTCTCTAACAAATTCTTCTGATTGATTTCCTTCAGGCATTATTTTTATAACCACAGTTACTTTTTCAGTTCTTCTTTCAGTTCTACAAAAAAAAACAAATGAATTTTATCAATTCATATGTATAAAATTTTCAAAAACACTACATCAAAATGAAATAAAAATATTTTATAAAGGTTTTCATTCATGAAATATAAATATTTCATAAAAATCTTCATTATTGCAAACATTTCAGCGTTTGATTTTATATGTTTTCATCAGTTGATATTGAATACTAGAGAATCACATTATTACATGAACACAAAAAATGTAATTAGCACTAACATATATCACTATTCACAGTTACTTGTCAGTAATTAAAGATATTTTTTTAGAAATCAAAGTCATATATTTGATTGTTCAAGTAGTATAAATGTTAGTTTTTAAGACAAGAAGTAATTTTGATACATTCGAGACAAGGTCTGTATTTCAATGATTATATATTTTTAATTGTGTTCATGTTTCTTTTTTTATTTTACATAAATTTCAGAGGTAAGTTTCTTATTATAGTCAATTTTTGAAAAAAAAAACGTGAAAAATATACGTTTTAGGGGCACTTTTCTTATTATAATCAATTTTTGAAAAAACGCGAACAATGAAAACATCTAAAATATTAGGCATTAGAAAATAACATCAAAACAATAAAAGATATAAAAAATTGGATAAAGAAATATTTTGAAATTTTATATCTACTACTCATACTATTCCTTAACAAACCAAACAAGCACATAAAAAATATTCGTAACAAAATATCCAATAATATGATTTTTTTATATATCTTTACGTTTCAAAGGTTTCTGAATATTTTGGCATACCTTAGAAAAAATGGATATGTGTGTGTGTTCGTGTATGTGCGGATAAAAATTTTCGTCGACGATTTCGGAAAACCCGATCAACCGATTTGAATAATTCAAAAAACATTCGATTCATATTGATGAGGAAACGTGCTGATTAGTTTTTGTCAAAGGCAGGTCTAGCCGTTCCGAAGATACGGGGCAAAAAGAGCCAAAAACTGTAACTCAGTTTTTAAGAGAACGTAGCTTCCGATTTTAAAAATTCAAAAAACATTTTACTTGATTTGACAAGATGAACAACTGATAAATTTTTGGAAAGGCAGGTCCAGCAGTTAAGGACTCTCAATAAGAATAAGTTAAAAAAATATCATTTGAAGGGTCAAAAATGTTTATTGGACGCATATCAAATTATTAGATATTTTATACAGATTTTAAAAATGTGTACACATTTATGTAATTTTTTTTGGATTCCGTACCAAGATTGTTGATTACGGTACAGGAAGTTCCAGCACGATAAACTGTTGCCTTAAAGCATGATGCCATGCACTACACTAGTTATATAATAATTTTGCAATGGTTTTTTCCAAAATTTTTCTGTAGTTTTTTTTCATAGAATACTTACTCATATTCGATTTCAGCTCTATATAATTCACTTAAATAATTATCACCTTTAGCAGTAGCTAACCAAATTCGAAAACCTATCACAGATGCATCACTACTTAATTTTTTAACAATCTGAGTAAAAAAATCATTTGAAGCCCAATACGGAGTTGATTCATTACTGTTATTCATTTTTATAACAAAATTTAAAAGTGCAATAAATTATAATAGAATTGAGATGGGCTTTATAGCTTCACAATTGTTGAAGTTAATCAGAAATTATTGTTTCAGAAATTAATATAATCACTGCTGAGTTTATTATTGTTACAAGTACATTCTTATAAATATCGAAAGAAACAATAATTAAGATCGACATATATTTAGCTTATATATGAGGGTTTCACAGGTCCTTTATTCATGATGCCCATAAATTCATATTCATGTGAAAACTGATAGTTAGAAAAATTTATAATATTCTATTTATTTTTCAGCTAATTATTGAATTTATCTAACCTTAGTGTTACACTTTTTTAACAGTAGTAGTTGCATTTGAGATAATCATTTAGTTTTATATATTATATATTATGTATAAGTACACACATTCGAACTTTGAGATTCTTTGCCCTCACTGAAAAATATGATTTAACTAAAAATGAAGTATTTTACTCAAATAATACTATTACCAACTAGTGGGGTGAATGGCATCGGCAAAATGCTGGAACTTCCCGTACCGTAACAAAATATTCGAGAAATGCTGAACGTTTTCAAATAGATTATTACAAATATTGTAACATGTCTAATGCTTATAAGAATTATATAAACCGAATTGTAAAATCGAAATTATTTGTTTAAAGTATATTAGAACTATAGTCAGAATAAAAAATAAAATCTGAATTATTTTCGATATACAAAAAAATTTTTTTCTTGAAAAAAAATTGAAAAAAAAGTTGAAACAAAAAAAAATTTTTTCCAAAATCAATTATTTTGTTAAGATAAGCAGAAAGTTCTTTGAATCATTTAAATCGGACGCTCAGATTTCTCAAAAACTGCCATTTTTTGCACATTTAGTTTCGTATCTTCGAAATGGCTGGGCCTGCCTTTGCCAAAAACTAATAATCACTTCTCCCAATCATTACTAATTGAACGTTTTTTAGATCATTCAAATCGGATGCTCCGTTCTCTCAAAAACTCGATTTCTATTTTCTGCACTCTTTGCTCTTTATCTCCGTAACTGCTGGACCTGCTTTTGCCAAAAACTAATCAGCACATCTCCCTATGAATAGAAATCGAATATTTTTTGAATCATTCAAATCGGTTGATTTGTGAGCCCGAAAACGTGACCGAAAAATGTATCCATACATACATACACACACACATCAATTTTTTCTGAGGTATGCCAAAATACTCAGAAACCTTCAAAACGTCGAGAAATGTAAAAATTTTCAATTTCGATTTTCGGCCCATTACAATAACTAACCCTACGGGAAGTTAAAAATAAAGTTTTTTACTTATAAAATATTATAATGTATAGTATGTGATTCTGAGCATATATTAATAACCATTTCTATAAAATATGTATTTTATTCAGTGATTAAAATTTTATTTTTTAACTACCTACTTTTATTATAAAGAATATTTTATCTTAGGTTTTATAGATCGTAGACCGAAGGTTAGAGCTATGGGATTTTAATCATACATTTTTAGTCTCAATACGTGCCTCGGGCAACCTGATGTCAAACAGTAGTGAGGACAATTTTTATTTCGAAATTTAGTCTGATAAAAAATGTCTGCTACTCGCAATTGCTGTATCATGCTGTATTAACATAAATGGATAAAAATTACATAAATTGATATATCAGAGATGGTACTATTTGGTTTGCGATTTACAAAAAAACAACATTGTTAAGTCAAATCATCGCAAAAGCTCATAGAACACTTAAGTTGTGATTGTTGTTCAAATAAAGAACATCAGGAAGAAATATCCAAAAATTAAATAATAGTGGGTAGTACTACATACCTTAGAGCAGCTTAAACACCAACTCGATTCAGGAAAAAATAGTGTGAAAGATTTCTCATTGCCAATTCACACCGCAGTACCCGTAATAGGCACTTTTCAATTGGGAACGCATTTTTGATCTATATTTTCAGGTGAAAATGGGCGTGCAGGTTGTCCAGAGCGGGGTTTGAACTCACGAAACACCTAAAATTCTAAATGTTAAATTCAAGGCATCATGAAAGCGATAGGATATTTTTTATTAAATTTCATCATCCATAATCTATTAAATTATTTAATCCTTGATCTATCAATTTATTAATAAAATTTAATTTAATAAAATATATTTTATGCTATAGCACATAAAATTGTTTACAAATAAAGGCCCCTTACGTTATAATAGTAATATATACATCATGCCAGTCATCTAATTTGACAAGATCTTTTGTTTGACGTAATAAATAATTAGAATTTTAGTTTGTTCTTCAGATTCTAATATCATGAGAACGTTTACCGCACGCATCCATAAGTAACACTTAAGACTTTTTTACATTATTTCCGTCAATATGGGACAATAGGCAAGTAATTATTGGCTAAATAATTATATCTTCAAGTACTTGCATACATGTACTTGCTTCAAATACTATCTTTAAAATAGTATTTGCCTTGGTGACTTGGCATTATACTGCAAGTGATAAAATCATTTTTATCAAATTTTGCAGTATCATGAAGATCATGCAAATGCAGCTCATAAATATATACATACGCCCACAGTCACACACTAAAATTATATAATATATATATATATATATATATATATATATATATATATATATATATTAGGTTGTCAAATATCTCCCTTCCGCTTTTTGCTCTTGGCTTATAATACAAAAAGGCGGAAGGGAAATATAATATATTTAGTATCAAAATAAAGTATTAATATTTAACTTCCCGAAGGAGAAGTTTGCTTACATAAAAAAATCCGATTTGCTAATTTTATGTTTTCTCGACGTTTCAAGCCATTCTGAATCGAATGAGATCAAATTTGGAAAAAGTATGAGTATGTGTGTATGTGTGTGTGTGAACAGATTTTTTGCCGTAAATCGACGTTTTCTCAAAAACGACTAGACCGATTACAAAAATTTAAAAGCCATTCAATATATGTCGATGAGGACTAGCGTTTCTCAGTTTTGTGCGACGACTGGCCGAGCCGTTTCTTTGTAAATCGCAGAAAAATGAAAATTATTCGCCCCGTTTTAGCCCGCAATTCTGAATAGATCTTGAAAATCCGAAAACCGTTCGAAATTAGGCTTTGGTAAAGATCGAAAAAAAAATTTTCGACGATATTTATGATTTTTTTTTCATACTAAAATCATACTAAAGATCATACTAAAATATTATGGCCCTACGACATATCGTTTAATTTCAATAATTCGTCGAAATTTGCAAAAATTAGTATCGTTTTTTGGCATTTGTCAAAATTAGATCTTTCATCGATGTTTGCTCAGAAACGCCTGGACCGATTTCAGAAATTTGAAAGCCATTTGATGTATCTCATGAGGACCATCTTTTGTCAGTTTTGTGCGATGATCTACCGAGCAGTTTTTTTTGTAATTTGGAAAAAAGTGTTAAACTTTCCGTCCGCATTTAAGCTTATACCACCGAATCGATTTTAAAAAATCAAAAGCTGTTCGAAAGATATTAGTTGGGAATGATACCTATTAGTTTTAAGCGAAAATCTACCGAGCCGTCTTCTTGTAATTAGCTGTTGAGAAAAAAAAATCTATTCTAATGGAGCTGTTTTTGGCGATATATATCATGGTCTTATAGAACTTACTGAAATATTAGGGCCTTGCGACAAGAATTTTAATTTTCAAAATTCATGAAAGGTTAAGAAAATGAGTGGTTCTTTCACGTTTGTTAAAATTAAAATAAAACGATTTACTTGGTATAACGATAGAGTACTTGGCCTTAATGAACATACTAAATCATTAAGTCGATTATTTACACATATCGGAAAGTTCATGTAACTTGCCTCAAGGCAAAATACCAACTAGTTAGTTATACTTTTTATGATAATTTTATAGTGACGTTGTTATTGCAATACAAAAAATTGTACATAAAATTATTAAAGACATTTGTTAGTAGAAAAAATTGAGTTTTGTTCTAATTTTTTTTGTATTCTAGCAAAATGTTTATTGAATAATAAATAAAAGAGAATAAATAAAATTATAAAAGCTCAGTTGCCGCTACCGGTAGCTGACATTGTCTAGAAGGAAATCTGAAAAGGCGCCCAACGTATTAATAGAAGCTACTGAATAAGTTTCCCAAAAACAATTTTAAGAAGAAGATTATAATCAAAAAGACAAATATTTGAATATAACAAATATTTGATAAAACATATTTAATATATTTGATGCTTTTACATTACATTCATATCTTATCTTCAATTAATATAATTGACATCGTTGACAAGATTTATAATGGCATGTTTTTATACTAAAATACAATTTGGCTTATATAATACTATTAATAACAATTTGATTATAACAAGGCATTACTGTGGATATATTTTTCAAAATCTTACATATTATTTTCTAATGTCAATCAATGAACTTAAAATTTGCGTCATTATAATCAAATTATTACTTGACTTTACATATATTATTTATATTATTTTATTATAAAACTTACAATGCTCCTTATATTAATATTAGATGAACACTCGAAGACTTTTCAGTTGCAATTCATGTTTTAAAAATTGGGTATCGTATTTGGTAATATAGTTAACGTATTATATCAAAAAGAGATCATTGTCGACCCATTGCCAAGTTTTTTCTTTGGTTTCGTCTCTGATGTATCTTACACATTTTTTAATATTTCTGAAAAATAATATAAATATATTAAAAATATTCTTCATTGGTTGTGATTTCAAGTTGTGCATGCATAATTGTGGAAAAACACACATGAATTTAATTTTATATATTTACCTCTTACATATTATATTTCTTTTACTTAAAGCAATTAAATTTTAATGTTTAAAAGAAGATAATTCATTTTATAATTAAACATATTAAAGGAAAAAAAACTAACAGTTTAATGATACTGAATAAAAATTAGAACCAATTAAGCATACATTTAATTTTTATAAATTATTAATAAACTAGCTGTAAGTGGAATTCTGTCTTAAGGCAATTAAGGCATCGTTCATTTTTTTTTTGAAATCAAAATTTTTTTGAAAAGAAAAATGTTTTCTTCATTTTGACATATTTTGGAAATTCTGAATTTTTTTTCAAAGCAATCGTACTGCTTTAACTGCATAAAGACGCAATATCAAAGCGCGTAAGCGCCGCATCGCCCTCTAACGCGTAAAAATTGGTACGGAACCCATGGGAATGTAAACAAAATTTATACTTATTGTTAAAATCTGTATAAAATATCTGATGATTTGATGTGCATATGTCTAATGATCATTTTTGACCGCCAAATGGCTCATTTTTTTACTTTTTTCGCCATATCTCCAGAGTCGTTGGACCTGCCTTTCCAAAAATTTGAACATTTCTTCATTTAGTTTAGATCATTAGAAAATTTGATAAATAATTCATCTTATCAATACAAATAAAATGTTTTTTGAATTATTCAAATCGGACGCTCCGTTCTCTTAAAAACTGAGTTACCGTTTTCGGCACTTTTTGTCCCGTATCTTCGGAACGGCTAGACCTGCCTTTGGCAAAAACTAATCAACACGTCAACTTATCAATACGAATCGAATGTTTTTTAAATTATTCAAATCGGTTGATTCGTGTGCCCGAAATCGTCGTCGAAAATTTGTACCCGCACATACATACACACACGCATATACATACACACACGCACATGCCAAAATGTTCAGAAACCTTTGAAACGTAAAGATATATAAAAATTTTCATTTTCGATTTTTTTGAGATTACTATAACTTGCCCTACGGGAAGTTAATAAATTTTAATTTTAATAAACTATTTCTCTTCTGATCTTCTGATCATTTGTTACCATATAAAATTTTAAACTATAACTAAAATTGTTTCTTTTCAATATAAGTTTGTGGGAGATTGGCAGGTCGCGTCAATTTTAGTAAGCGAGACAAAAATAATAATTGACATGGGTTATTTGTTGGATCATTTGTTTTGAACTATGCAAAGTTTTGGTTCAGATAAATTTATGAAATTTATCACGGCATAAATGAATAAATATTTTATAATCGGAAAAGTGTTTGATTTCCGATAGTGGTGACCCCGACGTGATAGGTTTATGATCAGTATATATTACAAATTCTCTTCCCTCTACCATATGTCTAAAAAATTTACAGCGTCGTAAATTCAAACTGTCTACCCTGATCTGATGTAACTCTTAAGGGAGCTCCGAATCTTGCAACTACAGTAGCAAGAGCATTCTTTTCTAACTGGATAGCAAGATTCGGAGCTCCCTTAAGAGTTACATCAGATCAGGGTAGACAGTTTGAATCGTGTTTATTTGAGCAGCTCAACCGATTAATGGGAACTACACATTTCAGGACAACTGCTGATCACCCGGCTTCTAATGGTATGGTTGAAAGATTTCATAGACAATTAAAAGCCGCGATAAGATGTCATAATACTGGGCGTTGGACGGAGATATTACCGACGGTTATGCTTGGTATTCGATCAGCATGGAAAGAAGATCTTCAAGCGACTGTCGCTGAGATGTTATATGGCGAGACTTTAAGATTACCGGGTGCCATGCTGGTACCAACCCAAAAAACCAGTCATAGTGAGACCGATTTTGTAAAAAATCTTAGGAAGCAGATGAAAATGGTTAGGCCTGTGACTGGCACAAGGCATGGTGTAAAACCAACCTTTAGGTTCAAGGAGATAGAAAAGGCTAAATATGTATTCCTTCGAAATGATGGACCAAAAAGACCTCTGCAGAACCCTTATGAAGGCCCATTTGAAGTTTTATCACGATCTTCGAAAACTTTCAAATTGATGATACGTGGTAAAAATGTCACCGTTTCAGTAGATCGGATTAAACCCGCCTACGAAATAGCGGTGAAAACAAATGATTGAGATGTTTACAATCACCCACGAATGGTTCCTCCGTGACAACGTCACTTGGAGGGGGAATATGTGGGAGATTGGCAGGTCGCGTCAATTTTAGTAAGCGAGACAAAAATAATAATTGACATGGGTTATTTGTTGGATCATTTGTTTTGAACTATGCAAAGTTTTGGTTCAGATAAATTTATGAAATTTATCACGGCATAAATGAATAAATATTTTATAATCGGAAAAGTGTTTGATTTCCGATAGTGGTGACCCCGACGTGATAGGTTTATGATCAGTATATATTACAAATTCTCTTCCCTCTACCATATGTCTAAAAAATTTTACAGCGTCGTAAATTCAAACTGTCTACCCTGATCTGATGTAACTCTTAAGGGAGCTCCGAATCTTGCAACTACAGTAGCAAGAGCATTCTTTTCTAACTGGATAGCAAGATTCGGAGCTCCCTTAAGAGTTACATCAGATCAGGGTAGACAGTTTGAATCGTGTTTATTTGAGCAGCTCAACCGATTAATGGGAACTACACATTTCAGGACAACTGCTGATCACCCGGCTTCTAATGGTATGGTTGAAAGATTTCATAGACAATTAAAAGCCGCGATAAGATGTCATAATACTGGGCGTTGGACGGAGATATTACCGACGGTTATGCTTGGTATTCGATCAGCATGGAAAGAAGATCTTCAAGCGACTGTCGCTGAGATGTTATATGGCGAGACTTTAAGATTACCGGGTGCCATGCTGGTACCAACCCAAAAAACCAGTCATAGTGAGACCGATTTTGTAAAAAATCTTAGGAAGCAGATGAAAATGGTTAGGCCTGTGACTGGCACAAGGCATGGAGTAAAACCAACCTTTAGGTTCAAGGAGATAGAAAAGGCTAAATATGTATTCCTTCGAAATGATGGACCAAAAAGACCTCTGCAGAACCCTTATGAAGGCCCATTTGAAGTTTTATCACGATCTTCGAAAACTTTCAAATTGATGATACGTGGTAAAAATGTCACCGTTTCAGTAGATCGGATTAAACCCGCCTACGAAATAGCGGTGAAAACAAATGATTGAGATGTTTACAATCACCCACGAATGGTTCCTCCGTGACAACGTCACTTGGAGGGGGAATATGTGGGAGATTGGCAGGTCGCGTCAATTTTAGTAAGCGAGACAAAAATAATAATTGACATGGGTTATTTGTTGGATCATTTGTTTTGAACTATGCAAAGTTTTGGTTCAGATAAATTTATGAAATTTATCACGGCATAAATGAATAAATATTTTATAATCGGAAAAGTGTTTGATTTCCGATGAGTTAAAGTGAATTGTTTATATTTGTGCTTGTGTTTCATTCTAGTACATATTTCATGAATCTTTAAATTAGTTGCATGAATCATGATTTTTCATTATTAAATATTTATTATTACACACCTTCTCTCACAATCGACAATTGGATGATCATAGGTGAAACATTGTGGGCCTAAAACTGTGAAATAAGTGAAAGCGACTTTTTTAGAAATAATACTGTTGGCATCTTGTAAGCATTTGTAGAACTTTTGATCGCAATCACAATGAGATCTAAAAAATACAAAATAGGTATTACATATAGCAGTTAACAATAACTAAATTAAGTTGTGACTAAAATAACGATTTTTTTTATCCAACCTAGTAAATAATCCACCATTGATGAGACCATGTTTTTCTTCTCCTGCGAGGATATTATCTTGGCAGAAATCGTGTTCTCTGCAACAAGCATCGGTGTCTTTGAATCTGCCCAAATCTTCATTAGAACGTGCTTTATCGCCTCCACCACACCAAAGAGTTCCTGCAATTAAAAAACCCTTAATAACTATGAAACGACTTAATGAATATAACCAAATTTTCAAATAAGGCATTCAAATAAATTTATGTAATGATATTTCAATAGGATTAATGAATGACAATGTTATATTAGAAAGTTACTCAAAAACCTTCTAATTATAATTCTGATGTTTCAGTTCCTGTATAGATAAATAGTTGGAAACACTATTAGCGCAAAGCAAGCTGAAGTATTTAAGAAACTATTACTCTGTAATGTTAATTAAATGAAAGTTATAGAATAAATTTTTTTATATCGATTTTAATTTTATCGTGAAGTTTGCGCCCTAATTTGATTTAAGGTATATCTAAATACCTCTGTATTTAGTAGGATTGTATTATTTTTAATCAAAATGAAAATGATAAGAAAAGGAATCAAATATAAAACTAGTGGGGTGCATGGCCTCGTGCTTCAAGGCAAATTGCTAGAACTTCCCGTACCGCAATTAAAAATATTGGTACGAAATCCAAAAAAAATTACACCAAATGTGTACACATTATTAAAATCTCTATAAAATTTCTGATAATTTGATGTACATATGTCCAATAACCACTTTTGACCGCCAAATGACATTTTTTTAACTTATTTTTATTGAGAGTCCAAAACCGCCGGACCTGCCTTCTCAAAAAAATAATCAGTTCTTCATCTTGTCAAATCAAGTAAAATGTTTTTTGAATCATTAAAATCGGACCTCCGTTCTCTTAAAAACTAAGTTACCGTTTTTGCCGCATTTTGCCTCGTATAACTAATTAGCACGTCTCCTTATCAATACGAATCGAATGTTTTTTTGAATTATTCAAATCGCTTTATCCGCGTTCCCGAAATCGTCGACGAAAATTTGTATCCGCACACACACACATGCATCCATGTTTTTTTTCTAAGGTATGCCAAAATATTCAGAAACCTTTGAAACGTAAAGATATATACAAATTTTCATTTTCGATTTTTTTGTGATTACTATAACTTACCCTAAGGGAAGTTGAAAATGAATTACAGGTTTATTTTAAAAATTAATTGCGATAATCAAAAGCAAATAAGATTTATTTCATCGGTCAATTGTATCGTCTACTGAATCTTATGAGCATCTTAATAACTATCAAAAATCGAGAAAACTAATTTATTACCTTATCTTTTTTAATTCCTATGAATAAGTAAATGTATATTTCCGACAAAAGCTTATGAAAATAATACAAAAGTTTATGAAATGTATTATGCTATAAATTAATCATTTATATAAATAAATAAAAAATAAATGAAAAAACATTTTAGCATCACAAATCATGATAATCAACTTTGTCTTTTTTCTTTAAATCATTATTGCTTTTTTTTAAGTACATTACTGACTACAAATTTCATATATAAGCAATTTTTACTCAAATACTTTATTTATTCAAAATGTGTATTTATTTCTTTTACCTATGGTTAGACATTCTATATACTTGTAAGCTTGTAACACATCAATTTTTGCACAAGACGCTACTTTATGACTTTGGACATGACATCCCGTATAATACGCCTTTTAGCTACTTAACGCGTTTCTGGTTTGATTTCTGGAAAATCGTTTTAACGAGGTTATTTTATAATTTTCTTAGAAGCTTAGATAAAAACCAGAATATTTTGAGTTGATAAATTCGCCATTAATGTAACGTAAAGTCTCTGAAACAACTTTTATTTGCGTAATATGATTTTAACAAAAAGTAAAATTAATTAGCAGAATAAAAATACTAGCAATATTTCAATTTAAAACGTACCTGGAAAGATGGCTTGAACTTGATCTTTGAAGCTTTTGTTAGCAGGCGCTTGTTGTAAAAATTCAGCTTCCATATCAAGTGCTCGTTCTGACTCTTTTCTGTTCAAGAAACTACCTCCAATATTCATGACTTGTGTTACTCCTTTTTCGACACCTTTTTGAACACCCTTCAACACTTTACGGCCAAAATTGCCTATAAAATATTTACATATGTATTATGTATTTTTTTGCCTTTATTTAAGCCCAAGTTGATACCATAGCCCACCAGTCAGTAATTTTCTATTATGCTAGTTATATGGACATTAGCAATAATATATATTTGAATTTCAATTGAAGTGTTTTTTATGCTTTATAATTTACATTTAAATACACTGTGAAGTTACTATACAAAGAATAGATTAAGCCAATTTTCTAAATGATTTTAGTTTAATTCATTCAGTTTTTAATCCAAAGCAAATAGGATAAATTGATCAATTGATATACAAATATACAAAAACCAAACCAAACCAAGTGCATTCAAAAAATCACAACAAAAAAATATTGTTTTTGAAGTAAAACTTCTTTAGGCGCGACTAGAGTGTAAACCCGTACAAATGCAACGGAAGTCCGTTATGCCCGAACTGTTCGTCATTCGCTCACGATAAGATTATTTTGATACGGGTCGATTGTGATTAGCGGTTGTGTATGTGAATAGAGATCTTTCGTTGTATGCGTACCGGCATCAACGTTGTATGCGTACCGATATCAACAAGAAAATCGGCATAGATAAATAAATATTTTAAAGTTACATCGTAATACAAATCTTGATTTAATGAAAAATGTCTGAATCAGAAGAATATTTTACCCTGTTCCTTGAAAATAATAAAACAAATAAACATTTGAACGTAAGTTTATTGATTAGAAATTATTTTTATATTATACGTAGTTTCTATAAATCTTTGAAGTTATTGAAATGAAAAATATTTTTTAGGCAAGACAGATATTAAAGCTGTTCAAAGAATGATATTATATCACCAGCGAAGAAGTAAAACAAATACAAGCAATCAATGAATGTATGTTAATTTTAATTACATGAAGTTCTTCAAACACAATTACATGATGAGTGAAGTTGCGAAAACAATATTTGTTTAGGCGTTGTTTAACACAATCCACTGTGTGAACGAATAAGATGCAATTACTTCTTTTCTCTAACGAATTACAATGACAAACCGATCATGTCATATTTGAAGTATGAACTTAATTACATTATTGTTTTCAAATATTATACATATTTTTAATGCTATTATAAATATATAATTTATAATGTATTTGTATAATGGTTGACACTATTTGTAATGTATGTGTATAATGGTTGGGACTAATAAATGTGTTCATCACGAGTGTTACCATATTACTAACAAACATTATTCAAAATTGATATATGATGTATATATTTTTACTTAAATGCCATCTAGTACAGTTGCAAATAAGTTTTACTTCAATCGCGTGTGAACCTTACGCGCACTCTTTTGTTGTTTGTACGTAGCCTGAAATGCATCAATTATTTCAATTTTCATCAAAATATTAGTAAAGTGATTAAATTAAAAATCATAAGCTGCATAGAACAATAATCGTGTTTTATTACTTTATTATAAAATGATTAAAAAGCGATACTTGATTCCAAAGCAGATAATTTTTTTGCCACAACCATGTTTTTATAAAAGTTTCCGTACCGAAATGATGAAAATTATCTCGTATATGCGTAAAAAATTTTCGTGCCGACCTGCCTGAAATAGTTATAAATACTTGTTATTCAGGAAAAACAGAAGTAGAAAATATATTAATTAGTTTTGCAATATTATTTTAAAGAATTTCATTAGAATAGGTTTTTGATTTAGATAAAGAAAGAAACAAGAGTTCCAAGAATTAGACAAAGAAAAGATATGAAATTATGTTTGTTGAATGTGAATATGCAAAAATATGGTACTTCAAATTTTGCGTTCAAGTTTAATATTACGTTTAGTGATAATTACAATAAAAGTAAATTTATGTATTTTCTTGTAAAGCTAAAAAACAACAAGCCCCGTAAGTTTATACCCAATATGGTATTAAAGTTGAATTAAATTATGTAAACGAGGTAAAAAAGTTTTGCGTGTTCACATTCATGAAGATAAATTTTATGATAAAATTCTGAAGATGGTTCAAAGATATTTTGAAATAAGTTTTCTACGTTTTTTTTAAAACATCTGACCGAAAAATGTTCTATGTCATTATGACCTAAGCAAAAAATAGGATAAAATGTAAAACAAATTTACAAATTTTTCTAAGAACATTTTTTAGCATATTTGAAAGCTGTGCCATAAATTTATACAATTCTATATTATTTTACTAATTACAACTTGCCAATTACTAAAACGCATTTGGTTTTTATTTATAGGATTGAAATTATTGTTTTTTATCCTAGATGTGAGTGTATGCAATAATACTGTGCAAACTATAATTGATAATATTAATAACTCAGTGAAATAATAGCGAAATGATACATGTTTTATTTTACCTATACCACCATTTTCCTCGTTGTCTTGCAAAGGTTCATTCCTTGACAATGTCGCTTGAACTCTATGTGGCAGAACTGACTTAATACTGGAAATTCCACTCTAAAAATGATGAAAGATGAGTAATTTATTAAGTTGATTAATATTCATTTATTCATAAAAATATTTACACGAGTTTCGTTTTCTACGCGATTACTAGACCCAATTCCGACGGATGAGCCGATGTCTTCCATCCACTGCCCAATTAATGGTAGGAAAAAACCATTAACACTGACTAGGGAAGTCGCGCAAAGTATTGCCAAAACGATCGTATAGTTCCTGAAACAAACGTATGAATATTTATTAATTTATACAATTATATATTTAAATTTCATATTTTTAATTTGAAAACCTGAATTTAATTCAAATCGGACCGTTTTAAAATATCTATATGAATACCAAAGCAATTTGTACCAAAAAATTTAACCAATAGTTGGCATATTCGTCCTTTACAAGACTGGTTCTTCACAAATTATAAAAGGACTATATTCACACTCCAATAAAAATATAAATATTATATTAAATATTCTGATTTAAATGACAATATTTATTTTTCTATTTGAAGACAATATTTATTAGCCGATCATAAAAAATGTTGCATCAATATTTAACTTCCCGAAGTAGAAGTTATGTTTTCTCGACATTTCAAGCCATTCTGAATTGAATGAGACCAAATTTGGAAAATGTGTGTGTATGTATGTGAATAGATTTTTTGCCGTAAATCGACGTTTTCTCATAAACGGCTGGACCGATTTCAAAATTTTAAAAGCCATTCGATGTATCTCTATGAGGACTATCGTTTGCGCTACGATCGGCCGAACCGTTTCTTTGTAATTTGGAAAAAAAGTGTTAAACTTTTCGTCCACATTTAAGCTTATACTACCGAATCGATTTAAAAAAAATAAAAAACTGTTCGAAAGATATTAGTTGGCAATGATACTGATTAGTTTTAGGTGAAAATCTACCGAGCCGTTTTCTTGTAATTAACTGTTGAAAAAAAATTTAAGAATTTTTTTGGCGATATATATCATGGTCTTATAGAATTACTGAAATATTACGGCCTTACGACAAGTAGTTTATTTTAAAAAAATCATCAAAGTTTGAGAAAATGAGTAGTTTTTTGACGTTTGTTAAAGTTAAAATTAGACGATTTACTTGGTATAACAATAGAGTGTTCGTTCGTTTTCAATTATGTGTAATAAATCCACTAGGAATATTTTTAATCGCTCATAAATTCATTTATTTATTATTGATTAAGTCGATTATTTACACATATCGGGAAGTTTATGTAACTTGCCTCAATGCAAAAGACCAATACCAACTAGTTATATTTCAATTTAAGGACAATATTGGAGAAGGCCATTTACAAATAATATTGCCTCAATATCGACTAACGTTGGCCTGATCGATTAGTTGACATCATCACAGAATCGCCTGAATTTGTGCAATATAGGTAATCACTGAGATTGATTTCTACATGGGTCTATATAAATATTTAATTTATGATATTTATGAATTTATACTATTATACATTGAATAATTTCATATTTGATTTGAAACCTGATTTTAAATTAAATCTGACATGTTTAAAGAATATTCATTTATGTGTACCAAAAATTTTAACTTATGCCAAATACCAATAGTTGGTATATTCGTCCTTTATAGGATCGGTTTTCATAATTAACCAGCTTAAGATTATAATTTATCACAATCCAACAAATAAATTTTATATTGAATATTATGATATGATTTTTTTTTAAATTTTTATCACTTATTTTCTTAATATTATAAGGATATTTTAGTGAGCAACCCAGCGGTTAAACACCTTACTTTTTGTGTGTAACAATTTAATAAAATGTAGTCTACCATCTGAAGGCAAGTCCATGGTGTCGGAGCACTACAAATCAATGATACTCTTTTTTATCATTTCTATTACCATTTTATTACCATTATATAAACTTTTATGCATTTTTCTCCCAAACTTCTGCTTCCATGCTTCCTGGTTCCAGCAACCCAGCGGTCAACCACCCTTCTTTTTGTGTGTAGACAATATAATAAAAAATTGTAGTGTGCCGTCTGAAGGCAGTTTCATGGTGTCGTAGCAGTACAAACCAATGATATCCTTGTTTATCATTTCTATTTCCATTTTGTTACAATGTTTTATACACGTTTATGCATTTTCCTTTTCAAACTTCAGCTTCCATGCTACCTGGTTCAGTGCTTCAGCTTTCTGTTCCCTGTATTTTTTTTGCCTAAGTTTTGTCTAATCATTTGCATTCTTCTTCTGCTCAATCTTTTTAGTCTGTCAACCTTAAAGCCTTCTTCTGCCTCCTTATCTTCAACAACAAAGGAGGCAGACTTTTTGCAGGATGGGTCCTATCCAGTTTCCTTTCCTTTTAATGAAGTTTTCAGTAGAGTTCTTTCTTCAATCACCCTTCTCAGTACTTTTTCAATTGATATCTTATTTGTTCACTTTATCTTCTTCATTCGCTTCCAGCACCACATTTCAAAACTCTTTCGATAGTTTTTTGTTGGCCATTCTTAGAGTCCAAGTGTCAGATCCGTACAGAGTAATGCTTTAGACACAACAGTATATTAGCCTCTTTCGCAGTTAGAGACTCAGTTTGCTTTCCATTTGCTTTTTCTAATGGCGTTTGTTGGCTTCTATTTGTTGCAGCAATGCCCACAAAAGACCATTTTCACTTGAGATCATATTAAACCTTATGTTAGAATCTGATCACGCTGCTTGCTATCAAGCTTGAAATATTAAGATGTGAACAACATTTTTGTATAAATACTTAATCTGTTAGCTGAACTTAACAGATGGCATTTAACTAGAGATAAAATGACATTTACTAGCGAAATGTTTGAATTTTATAATATTTACTAGCAAACCCGACGAACTCCGTTTCGCCACCAGATGGGCGAGAAAGATGAAGTAATTTTTTGTTTGTTTTATATTTGAAAAGGAAAAATTTGATTTTATTATACAACAGTAATGAATTTATTTCGATTACAAAATGAAGTGTTTTTTAGTTGAACTTCTCTAAGTAAATGAAAGTGAATCCGCAAATTATCCGTTTCATTGAAGTGCTCTTTGGTAAATCACATTCTTCTAAATAATTTATTTGAAATTTATCCCGCAAACACTAAGCGATTGGCCTTGAGACTTGTTATTACAAACGCAAGGCAAACTGGAAATAGCAATCGTTTGAAGTCAAACAGAAGACCAGTCGGAATCAATGGTATGTCACCAAATCGCCAGCAATTTTTTATTGAATGGTGAAATTCAGTACGTGTACATCATTATTCTTTGCGGCAAGAATTGCTCGTTGACTAATGTCATTACACGTATTTTTAATTACGGTGCGTGAAGTTCCAGCAATTTGCATTAAAGCACGATGCCATGCACCACTAATTTTCTTAGCTATAAACCTTGCGGAGCTCGAGACCTTTCCAACGAATGAAAAATTGTTGAAATCGGTTCGTGCGTTCTGGGGTTATTTCGTCAGGAAGGAAAACCCGACTTATTTTTATATATATAGAAGATGACATATGTTTGATTAATGTTTTTCTATTAGACTTGCTAGATATATTATTATTACCTTTATTATATCTCATTTTTAACGTTCGTACATATTTATTCTATATTCTCTCGTATAAACGAATTTTCCTACTGCTTGATATCACGTAGAATTAGCATAAAATTTGAATCTGAATGCTTGTGGTGCTGGTGTGGTTGCTAAGACAAGAATCTTAGCGTTTGCGCTACGTACTAGAAATTTAATATAATTTTTTTAATTAAAATATAAATATATATTATTATTATTTGAATTACAAAAATCTCTGATATATTACTTCTTTAAGTTATTTCCCATTTCCGATATTGATGCATATCACATTAATTTTATTTTGTCACTTGCTATAACATTTATGTTTTTGTCCCAGTTGTATATATTACGTTATCGATGCATATTTAAGAATTTTTTCTGAGTCTCCGAATGCGCAACACCTGAATATATATTTAGTGAGAGGTCACTGTTTCAAGGTTGTGGTCATTGGACCAAACAATATGGATTATGAACAATTGTATTATTATTGATATTGTCAATTAAGAAAACTTGAATCTAACATTGGTAACTGGAACCCGTCGTGGTGTAATGTATAAAAACTAGTCCTAGGTTCGTTACCAAGCCAGATATCAAGCAGTATCACATCAAATTTCTACTTGAGGTTATTGATCTCAAACATAATCTGAAGTAAAATTTGCCTTTTGTGGGCGATGATGCATCACATACAAGCTAATACTATCAAATACACTTGTCTAATATCAGCAAAAACAAGTAAAGCTAAGAATTTATTAACCATAATATTTGAAATTATAGGGAAAAAGATGTGTAGCCAGCCATCATCTTGATTTTTACGACGTCGCTATCGAAAGATAAATGGCAATGTTTGAAAATTCATAACAAAAGTATTTTCTTTCGTTGTTAGTTTTTTTGGTTGTGGTGAGCACTGTTGTTTAGTTTACAACACCTTAATAGAACAATTTAGATATACATTATTTAATTGTTTTATAAAAAGTATTGTTATGTTTAAGTTACATTCAACTGTTTTTTATATACCGTCTATAAAAACTTAGACGTGGGTGAAGTAGGAGTAAACAATGAAACAAGGTAAATAAGAAGGTAAATTAAGTCAATAAAAGTAATTTTACCAATTTTTAATTCTAATGGTTGTTTGTGACAAAATGGCAGATCAAAGTTATAAAAAAGCACTTAAATTAATAAGCTTTAAAAAGAACTTTCAATTTCTTGATATGCAGTGTTCTATGTTTATATATTTGTATTTTGTTAGAGAGAGTATTTTGATTTGTAAAGGTTGTCGTTGTTGAACCAAAACAGTAACAAGTTTGCACTGAATTTCTGCATATATATATATATATATATATATATATATATATATATATATATATATATATATATTTATAACACTTTTGCAAAGAAATTTATAATGAAAAGTTAAAAAAAATGTTGATAAACAGTTCCAAATTTTAGTATTTTATATTATACTTTAATATGTATTTTATTAACTTTCCGTAGGGCAAGTTATTGTAGTCGTCCAAAAATCGAAATTGAAAATTTTTACTTTTGCTCACGTTTTGAAGGTTTCTGAACATTTTGGCATACCTCACTGTCAGAATAAATGGATGTGTGTGTGTGTGTGTGTGTGATAAAATTTTTCGTCCGCGTTTTCGGGCGCACGGATCAACCGATTTG